AAATATGCAGAACTTTGGCTGACCTCTCCAGTGCCAGGAATAGCTCTCTCGGGTTTCAGTAGATGGATTTGCAGGTCCCTGCTTGAGTGGAGAGGTCCAGCTCACCCAAACCCAACCTGATCTGTAATTTCTGGTGCTTGGCAGTGAGTCAGATTGCTTTAATTAGCTTCTGCTGCGGCTGTGTTTAACCTGTCACCCTCTTAATCCTGCCTTTCAGCAGAAGGGATCATTTCAACGGTCTCCCCACCCATTTTCTGACTTGCCAGGATCACCGGTGGTTCATCTTCATATCCTGCTAGGCCGAAGAAGCGCAGGAAGAGTCTGACTCCCACCGTAATCCGCAATCCACTTAAACCAGCCTCCCTGCGCTTGGCGTCAGTACAGCTAATCTGGTTGATGCAGAAGCAGCATCAGCGATGGGCTGTGGTTTTGCCTCATGGGAAGAGGGACTGCATTGCCGACAGAGCACTTTGTGGGGGGCTTATGGGCTGAAACTCAAAAGTGGCTGGGTGCGTGGAAACAGCATATCCTGGATTTAACCCATGAGAATTCCGGCATGTTGGTCACACTAGTGTAGTTATCAGGGCCGGATTTAGGTTTGATGAGGCCCTAAGCTACTAAGGGTGCCACTGTGGGTTTAAACCACAGAGCCTAGGGCTTGCCGATCAGAAGGTCGGTGGTTCGAATCCCCGCTCCCGTTCCTTGGTCCCAGTTGCTGCCAACCTAGCAGTTCGAAAGCATGAAGTGCAAGTAGATAAATAGGTACCGTTCCGGCGGGAAGGTAAACGGCGTTTCCGTGCACTGCTCTGGTTCACCAGAAGCGGCTTAGTCATGCTGGCCACATGACCCGGAAGCTGTACACTGGCTCCCTCAGCTAGTAAAGCGAGATGAGTGCTGCAACCCCAGAGTCGTCAGCGACTGGACCTAATGGTCAGGGGTCCCTTTACCTTTACCTTTTAAGCTACTGAAGGTAATGGGGCCCCTTATATGTCTAGCTGTCCTTTGTCAACAACAAACTGTCGCTGGTTTTTTTGTTGAATATATGCTATATGGCAGGGGTCAGCAACCTTTTTCAGCCATGGGCCAGTCCACCATCCCTCAGACCATGTGGTGGGCCAGACTATATATATATATTTTTTTTGGGGGGGAGGGGAAATGAACAAATTCCTATGCCCCACAAATAACCCAGAGATGCATTTTAAATAAAAGCACACATTCTACTCATGTAAAAAGACCAGGCAGGCCCCACAAATAACCCAGAGATGCATTTTAAATAAAAGCACACATTCTACTCATGTAAAAAGACCAGGCAGGCCCCACAAATAACCCAGAGATGCATTTTAAATAAAAGGACATATTCTACTTGTGTAAAAACATGATGATTCCCGGACCGTCCGCGGGCTGGATTGAGAAGGTGATTGGGCCTTAGGGCCTTAGGTTGCCTACCTCTGCCATATAGTAATTTATGGATCGAATAAATATCTAAAGCCATTTGCACATAACAAAATATGTTATCAGTCTACAAGCACTCTTTAATATTAGATAACAGGTACAACAGCTTGACCTACATTCAACTGTGCTGCACTGCAGTCTGTAGCTCCATGCTACGTGTTGCCATGCAACCAGTTCATGCAGAATGTAGGCACCCTATATATAGAAATGAGCAAACCAGTGATATTTTAGGGCACAGGCTAGCAGGCGGAGCCCATTACTTACATCATAGCAGCCTACACAACACAAACCAAAACACTGTTGCTGTTTGTAGGTTTTATTTTATTTGTTTTTTAACTTATATTTTGGAAATGTGTTGTTGTTGTTGTTGAGTCGTTTAGTCGTGTCCGACTCTTCGTGACCCCATGGACCAGAGCATGCCAGGCACTCCTGTCTTCCACTGCCTCCCGCAGTTTGGTCAAACTCATGCTGATAGCTTCGAGAACACTGTCCAACCATCTCGTCCTCCATCATCCCCTTCTCCTTGTGCCCTCAATCTTTCCCAACATCAGGGTCTTTTCCAGGGAGTCTTCTCTTCTCATGAGGTGGCCCAAGTATTGGAGCCTCAGCTTCAGGATCTGTCCTTCCAGTGAGCACTCAGGGCTGATTTCCTTCAGAATGGAGAGGTTTGATCTTCTTGCAGTCCATGGGACTCTCAAGAGTCTCCTCCAGCACCATAATTCAAAAGCATCAACTCTTCGGCCATCAGCCTTCTTTATGGTCCAGCTCTTACTTCCATACATCACTATTTGGAAATGTACATCCAGGTTTTTTTCCTTTAATTTTTTTTGGGGGGCCCCAAGAGAGTGGGGCCCAAAGCTATAGCTTGCTTAGCTTATACATAAATCCGGCACTGGTAGTGATCTTATGCATTTTTTAAATAAATAAATAAATAAATATAATGTTTATTACATTTTCTGTTTTACAATTTCAAATAAACATTTTACATACTTAAGATATCAATGACTTCCCTTCTTCTCTTTCCATGGTTCATTTTACCATGGAATGGTATCCCTGCACAGTGTTTTTTTTCTAAAAAAATGTTTAGGGGTACTCTCATTTTCCTACTCATATTGAAATACTGCCCCTCAATGAGGCCAAACTTAGATTCACAAAAATGTTTAGGGGTATGCGTACTCCTGCGTACTCTCAGAAAAAAGCACTGTCCCTGCATATTTTACAAAAACTATACCAATCAGTTTTCCATTATTGCGGCCATCAAAACTTATTCACACTGTTGAATGGAGGTCCCAACCAAAGAAGAATGGCAGCTTAAGTTGACAGAATATGCACAACTTGCGGACCTAACATACAGAATAAGAGAACAAGAAGAGCATATGTTTAAAGAAGATTGGGAAACGTTTATTGAATATATGGAAAATAATTGTATACAGCTGAAAGCTCTGGCAGCCTGAAGATAAATTCAACAGTGATTCTATGCATTGTTACTTGGAAGCAAGTCCCATTGAATTCAGTGGGACCTGCGCCAAAGTAAATGTGGACACACTGGGATTTCAATACGTCTACTTTAAGCATGACTAAGTTGGGATCTAGGGACATGGGTTAAACCACAGAGCCTAGGACTTGCCGATCAGAAGGTTGGCAGTTTGAATCCCCGCGACGGGGTGAGCTCCCGTTGCTCGGTCCCTGCTCCTGCCAACCTAGCAGTTCAAAAGCACATCAAAGTGCAAGTAGATAAATAGGTACTGCTCTGGCAGGAAGGTAAACAGCGTTTCCATGCGCTGCCCCGGTTCACCAGAAGCAGCTTAGTCATGCTGGCCACTTGCCCCGGAAGCTGTACGCCGGCTCCCTCGGCCAGTAAAGTGAGATGAGCGCCACAATCCCAGAGTCAGCCATGACTGGACTTACCTTTACCTTTAAGTTGGGATCTAACTCAAAATTTCCAAGGGCGATCAGCCAGGCGCCCATGAGCAGGGTGTGAAAGCTACACCCTCCCCTGTTCTCTATCACCAGCACCTGGTATTCAGAGGTAGATTGCCTCTGACCAGGGAGTATCCATTCAGCTGAATGTACGTGATAGTGCATATAGATAATGACTGGTGTCCCTTCTTGGGGTTATTTTATCTTCAAAGCCGACTTGGACCGGACAGTCCTTCAAAAAGAGAATGTGCTTGTATACATAGCAATACAACAGGAGAACTGCCATGCACTATAGTAGATAGATAGATAGATAGATAGATAGATGATAGATAGATAATTTTTATGGTCGGAGACCAGCTTATAAAACACACTTGGGGTACAATCCCAGAAAGAAAGCAAACAGTTAAAACAATGTACAACAATAGATTTAAAATTTATAAATGTGATAAGCATATAGACACTTAAAACTTTAAGATAAGCTACCACACAGATATGACCCAGAGTCACCCACGGAACCGAGTTTGGGGATTTTCTTCACGAACTAGTTTGAGTCGGGGGATGGTCTGCGCCTACAGATCTGTACACAGAATCTGGCGACCACCCGGGTCGTCTTATGATCCTTGCTTAAAAGGAAAAGGTCGATTTTTTGCTTTTCTGGGAGGTCAGTGAGCCTCACCAGCAGGGGATCAATGGTCTTACTACATGATGTACTATAGTATTTTATTTATTCCTTCATTTATTCCATGCATATCCCACTTTCCTTCATGGAGCTCAAGGTGGCACACACAATTCTCTCTCTGCCCGTATTATTCTCACAACACTGCGAGGTAGGTTATGCTGAGAGACAGTGACGGGCTCAAGTTCACTTGGGGAGCTTCAGGACTGTATGGGGATCAGAACTCCCATCTCTCAGGTCTCAGCTTGTAGTACCAGAGTCCAGGACCCTAAACCTGAGAAATCAGGAGCCTCTGACGCTACCTCAGCAATTCAACAATGCGGGGAGGTCAGGGAGCAAAGGAGCAGCAGCTATCTTCAAGCCAAAATGTTGGCCCTCACAAGGGTCTGCAGCTATCTAGCAAACGAGTACAGCAGAGGTGGGCTCAACCTGGAGCTCTCCGTGGTGCTGAAAGATGCTAACTTGGATCTCTCCGTGGTGCTGCAATAACCAGCTAACCTTATTGCGTCCTAATGGGCTTTTCATTAGAACCAAAACAGGAAACTATGACGAAACTATACATCAAATTAAATTTGTGGTAAAACAATTAATTGTTAAAAAAGAAACAGCGATAGGAGGGGGACTGATTTGGACTGTGGCACATAGGGAGGGTTATTTAACCCTTGCTGTCCATGCCACAGTCCTGGTGACATCCCCCACTCCCAGAAGCAGCTGTTTACTGTGAGGAGAAATCTGTGGTTTACCCCACTCCAGCAAATTGCAATTTTGGCAGTGGCTTGGAAAGTGTTTATGATTGATTGATTGATTGAATTTACACCCCACCTTTTTCTCCAAAGAGCTCAAGGTGGCATGCATGACTCTCCCTTACTCCTCATTTAATCCACACAACAACCCTGTGAGGTAGGTTAGGCTGAGAGCAAGTGAGTGGCCCAAGGTCACCCAGTGAGCTTCATGGCTGAGTAGGGATTTGAACCCTGGCCTCCCAGGTCCTAGTCCGATACTCTAACCACTAAGGCACATGGGGCACTGCAGCACATGGAGAAAAGTTGTCTCCCCACTCCATGTATCCTTGACACTGTGTGGCCTTTCCCGGAATATGTTACTTAAAACAATGATGTGCTAATGCTTAAATGCTTCTACAGATTTAATGTATCTGGTAGGCAGGCCCGTAAATATCTGCATGGTCATTCTGTTGCCCACACCCACCAGAACAAAGCATGCAAATTGCACAACCTGTCCAAAAATATGTGTGAGTTGGATGGTTCTGTAATTCTGACTGCGGAATTTACAGCCGATGACTAAAATAATAATTAATAATAATAATAATAATTTATTTATACCCCGCCCATCTGGCTGAGTTTCCCCAGCCACTCTGGGCGGCTCCCAATCAAGTGTTAAAAACAGTACAGCATTAAATATTAAAACCTTCCCTGAACAGGGCTGCTTTCAGATGTCTTTTAAAGATAGGATAGCTGCTTATTTCCTTCACATCTGAAGGGAGGGTGTTCCACAGGGTGGGCGCCACTACCGAGAAGGCCCTCTGTCTGGTTCCCTGTAACCTCACTTCTCGCAATGAGGGAACCGCCAGAAGGCCCTCGCAGCTGGACCTCAGTGTCCTGGCAGAACGATGGGGGTGTAAACGCTCCTTCGTGTATACAGGACCAAGGCCGTTTAGGGCTTTAAAGGTCAGCAACAACACTTTGAATTGTGCTCGGAAACGTACTGGGAGCCAATGCAGATCTCTCAGAACCGGTGTTATGTGATCTCGGCGGCCACTCCCAGTCACCAGTCTAGCTGCCGCGTTCTGGATTAATTGCAGTTTCTGGGTCACCTTCAAAGGTAGCCCCATGTAGAGCACGTTGCAGTAGTCCAAGCGGGAGATAACTAGAGCATGCACCACTCTGGCCAGACAGTCCGCGGGCAGGTAGGGTCTTAGCCTGCGTACCAGGTGGAGCTGGTAGACAGCTGTCCTGGACCCAGAATTAACCTGTGCCTCCATGGACAGCTGTGAGTCCAAAATGACTCCCAGGCTACGCACCTGGTCCTTCAGGGGCACCGTTACCCCATTCAGGACCAGGGATTCCCCCTATAATCTCTGCTTTCCCAAATTTCGAGACTGAATCAAGCCAGCATCTTTTGCTAATTCGCCAAGCTGCCGGCCAGGGCTCCTACTTCTTGAGAGAGACCTGCGCTCTATGACCTGAATATGTTACTATACTCAATGCTCCCTTTGTGGCAACATTGAAAAACTATGGAAGGCTATTAATATCTCAGTGGCCGAGAGAAAAGAAGAAGGATGTGTGACTACTTCCTTCCACTCTGACCTAAAGAGTGAGCCTCTAAGTCATGTCCGCAGTTTGTTTTTGTTCGAAGGGGAAGTCCTTTGCCCTGGATGAATGGGTACTTTTGAAAGAGGTGACCGTGAGTGATGTAATAAGCACTGGAGTATTAACAAAGCTCCCCATGTATTTGGCTAATAGGCCCGGATTCCCTAAAGCACATAAATCAGGCAAAACAAATAAGCCATCCTAGCTTGTGTAAACATATCCTGTAGGTCGCGATTCTTCTTTTTTTAAAAAGGAACTGAAAGACCTCACATAATCCATACTTAACCCAAATGTGACTAGTGTGCAAACATGTTAACCTAACAAGGACGATTAAGAAAATAAGAAGAAGATCGACTGAAATGACAGATCTGGTGACTGGGCTGAAACCACAAGATAAATTCTCCTTTTTTGAAATAGAAAATCCTGATGCTAAGCAGCAGACTTCTCTGGGGAAATCTGTTAGGACTTTTGAACCCGATCTGGATCAGTTGCCATTAATCATTTTGCTTTAATCAGTTGTTTGCAAATAGCTCCTTTGCTCCCGTGTTGTTCACTCACTGCATCATGGGTTTTGTAGTCATTGCATTGCGCAAATAATTAGATTTTCTTAGGAGGCATTAGAATACCATGAGGGTGAAAAACCTAGAGCACATCATGGAAGAATGAACAAATATATATGTATAGCAGATTCTATTGAAAAACACAAACCACTTTGGATTGGGGTTGGCCAGCCAGCTGTTTTTGGAATGATATTTGTTATTACGCTGACTATATTATTATTAGGCTGCCTGCCAGTCTGCTTTTTATTATGTTTTTACCATTGTTGTTCTGTAATGTGCTTTTAACGTTGTACACTGCCCTGGGATCTTTTGATAAAGGGTGATATATAAATTGAATAAATAATAATAATAATAATTACTGGAAAGGTAAATTTTAAGTTGAATTCTGATTTAAGAGGATTTCAGACTCTCCCCCCAAGTCTCCCTGTATTTCCCCTTTAAGCTTCCAAAATCAGGGACTTAAAGGGGGAGGGGGGAAAGCTTGCAAAATACTTTAAAACAGCCCCCACACTCTTAAGCCCTTTGCAACAACCTACTAGAAGTAGCTTCAGTAATTTCAGCGGATGGGTGGGTGAGTGCAGTATGGGGAAAATGGCCTAGTGGGAAAAGATTGGCCTGTGGTCTGGCTGCTCCCCCCTCCTGCTCTAGAATCTAGACCCATGGGCCAGATCCACCCACTACAGGTTTTTAACGGCCTTCCAAGACTCCCAACAATTAGGAGGGTGACATTTTATAAAACATCAAACTGTTCTCTGTTGTGGTGTGTCCTGTCCTTCTTTGGGGTATTTTGGGGAGATCCTTTGCCTATCGTGTCTGTGGCATAGTTGCTCAAAGTGTCAGGTGAGCTGCTTCCACAGTGGCGTAGCGTTGGGGCAGTGGGCACAGGGGCAGTTGCCCCTGGCGCAAAATTGTTAGGGGTACAAAATTTCAACACCCAATGCTTCCGTAGCTGGGCTCCATTGAAAATGACTTCTCCATGCGAACCAGGAAGTAACCTCTCCAGAAAACGGAATGACTCTCCTTTTCTTATCTCGGTGGCTGTAATCTCCTGGGTGACGTGAATGCCCCGGACACAGGGAAGCCATGCTATGCCACTGCACAGCGGTGGTTAATCTTTGCTATGCTTCTCAGGAGGTCTGGACCATAATCCCACCCCCCTAAGAGCAAACCAAGCATGCTTAGACTTTTGACAATTAATTATATTCTCATGCACCATTTGGCTGGATTGTTGCCCAAAGGCACTAATCCAGGCAATTGAACAGAAACAGGACCCACCCTGATGGTGCTTGTGGAGTTTTCTTTTTTTTTTAAAATGATGTTTATTGAAAAAATTTTTTTATTTTTTTTAAAGTTACAAAAGAAAAACAAAGTAGAAAAAGAGAAAAACAAACCACTTCCAACCATACATATACAAATTCAAAATAAGGAAGAAAAAAACAAAAATACACCACAAACATTTAAAAACATTTAAAAACAAATCCATTATTCTCAACTCCTCAACTGTCATTACCCTCTTTCCTTGACCTCCTCCTCCTCCCCTTCCTTGTATCCTGTTTGTTAATTGTCACAGCAAATCCTTTCCATATTTCATAATATTCTGTCGTTACATTACCCCAAACTATTTTAATCTTATCTTACTATAAAAGAAACCTTGAGTCTTAAAACTTAAATCTTATTTTTACCAACTTCTCATAACCATAATATTCTTGCATAATTCTTTAAACATTTTTACTAAAGCCAAGTAATTTCATTCCAACATTTTTCTAACATTCATCAATTTTATAAAACAGTCCTAGTAGTGAAAAAAAGAAATAAAAACAAATCCAATCTTCATCCAGTGTCCCTTCCTCCTGGTCCCGGGTTTTGTCAGTCCTTATTATCCCATCAATCTGGCGCATTAACCTGGTAATCTTATATCCGAGGCCCTCAAGTCCCTTCCATGTCCCTTCCGCAGCTCTTCTTCATATTTATAGCTGTATTTTCCTTTGTCTCCTGCTCCTTTCACTCGTGGGAACTCCAACTTAGCAGTATTTTTGACCCTTCTCGACAGATCAGCCCCTTTTCCATAATCGACACTAAATTCCATGTGGTATTTAAAAACATGTTTCAGAATCCCTCCAAAATTAAGAGCCCCCACAATCCCAAACATCTCACGGCCCATTGCCAGACTTGAAAAGTCCAATTTCATAGGAGGGTCTATCCAACCCCCCATTTCCAAACCAAACCAAACTTTTTCTTTCCAAATCTGGCTTTTTCCAAGTTCATTTGTCAAATCCAAAGCTCATATTCCTGTAGGGCCTGTTCTGTCAAGACACACTCCTGATTTAATTCCTGGGTGGGCTCCACATATTTTCCCACTGCCTGTTCAAAATTTCCCACTGCCTGTTCAAAATTTCTAATCGAATCAGCCATCAAATTCGTCTTCTCATGTAACTGTTCCAGTAGGGCATTTGTTTTATAGAAAGCACACAACAGAGCTTCTGAATACATTGTCCTGAAGGTCAGATGTCTATTCCCACGATTGTAATCTGTAACAGATGCCAGCTCCCAGGAGTTGGTTACAGTTTCACAGTCTCCCTCTAGGGGGAAAACTTCTGTTTAATCTTTCTTTTAAAGACAAGTCTAGCAACAGAGTTTCCATTTTTCAGATATTTTGTCAATATTTGTTCCTTTAAGGTGCGAAAGGAAACAATGGAATCACTATGTTCCTCTTCTTTTAGCTATCTGTCAAAAGCGCTTATTTCTGGTCGATGAGCTTCAAACGTCAGTCCTGACACCCCGCTCCAGGATCAGGATGGTGGAAAGTTACTTTACTTTAAACTCACTTCTGCAGGTTTAAACAGTCCAGAAAAGATCCCCCTTCTTCTCCTGCTGCCGAAGGGGGGTTCAACAATTTTAAATGATGAAAGCCAATCCTTTAGAGGCGATTTTCTGAGCTCTAGTTTACGTTGTCTTTGCTTTATTCTGTCTACAAAGAAATGGAAGGCTGACTTCCTGTTTAGACCTTCCCGTTTCAGTACCAAATTGAAGTAAAATTTTTAAGTCCAATTCCTTTCTGCTCGCAAGTCCTTATTTAAAGTCCAATTGTTCAAAGTTTAAGTACTCACGGGTGCTTATTTTAGAAGCCAATTTGTCCCA